GCTGTAGATGTGTCTTACACACCTGTAGATGTGTCTACACAGCAGCAGATGTGTCTTACACAGCTGTAGATGTGTCTACACAGCTGTAGTGTCTTACACACCTGTAGATGTGTCTTACACACCTGTAGATGTGTCTTACACACCTGTAGCTGTGTTGTACTACATACTGTGTAGTAGGTGGTGGTGTAACAGTATTACATTTCTGCACCATCACAGTGTGATGGCATGTTACACGCCATGTTTGCCTAATGTCAGACCACATGTTTACACATTACACCAGTAAACAACTACACTAACACAGCTGAAACAGCTCTCACAATACTGATACCAGGTAACCTGCCTACACATTTATTTACACATATGCATACAGGTATACGAGCATAAATTCACTGGTGGTACTGGACATGTGACATTAAACTTGGAAATTTATAGGCATTTAATTTAACCAAATTCAATCAGTTCGTATTGTCTAACTATTGGCCAAACCAGAATAGAAGTGTGAAGATAGTCTGTTGTGGCATGCTGACACAAACAAGGTTCAAAGTCGACCCTATTCTGCAAATAATGTAAGTAACATGGTGTCCATTTTGTAGCTAGATCTGTACATTCTACTGTAAACAAAATGTCAAACTTGGTTCAGTTTTGTACTTCATTGCTTTGCTGACAATTTAAGCATAAAAACATGTGTCTACTTTGTACATATAAATTGTCAGGTTTCATAAAAATATGGGACACCGTTACTTACGTTATCAAATTTATGAAAGTTAGAAAGCACGCAGACTGAATAAAACCAGCCATCATAAATTCACATTTTCAGTCCAGAATTTACAAAACAACATCTATGAATGTTGGCTTTTGGTCAATATGCGTCTCTATTGCGATATTTATATTGCGACAAAACTATGACAGCCCATGTTAATTCAGTATTTATTATTAGGCAATTCACACTGAAAGAATCGTATTAATATGTGAATCATATTAGATGCGACTTGTGCGTAACAACGGACACTAAGAAATTTGTCAAATTTGGTGTCTCCAGATACGCACGTAATCATAAATTAAATTTGTGATATTGACAGAAAATTGCGCTTACGTACTAACAAATATCCACGTACTATTCACATACAATCCATGATATTCTATAATTAATTGTCGAAAACGAAATACTTCCTCGCAATTATGTGCGTATATCTCGGTGACCCTGTTCGTCTCAGCAGACGACAAACCTGTACGACAGATCTTCACCAATTTCATAAAATATTCTAACACTCGCTGCATGTCACAATAATATACGGGTTCATACACAACAATTATAAACTAAACTCCATATAAGTACATTCCCATGAGGTAGAACCATCATACTTTTGCTTAAAAACTTGATATATCGCAACACTTACCGACTGGTAACGTTCGCACATTTTTCGTTTTTCGCGGATACTGCCAGCACATGGTTCAAAGGTGATGTGACGTAAACGCACACACAGTCTGCAACGTTACTAAAATATGTGCCCAATGGATCGCTTCCGGGTCATCGCGTGTCACGCACATAACAAAGCCATGCGTGTCCAGGGCTGCCAACTCTCATGCATTGACCGTGAGACTCACGCATTTTGACCAAATCTCACGCTCTCACGCTGATCTTACAATATCTCACGCACAGCAAAAAAATGCTGAGATATCTCACGCATGAATATCTCTTCATGAATAAAACGCTGAAATATCTCACGCACAGCAAAAAAAAATCTTACAATATCTGAAAACAGTCACTTTAGTATGCACCAAATTGCACAAATTGAAGTTATCAAATGCAAAAGCTCCCTACCGTGGGAGGGGGGAAACCCCCTCCCCCCCCCCTCGGTCGCTTCGCTCCCTCGCATCTCACTCTCACCTATCACCCAATGTTGGCAGCCCTGCGTGTCCAATTGACATTTTCAAACGTCGCGATTTGCGTTCGTAACAAGCGGACACGTTTTACAGACTAGGAACTAAATGTGGATTTACTAATAATATTAAAGCTGGTGCACTAAACTGACACATGAATCAATACAGGGACATCAAAGTGGACATATGTAAGTCACTGTATTTTTGACATGACCAGAGTTTCCTGAATTAGGCATGGTGTTTACGTTCGTAACATTTGTGGACACTATGTGTTACGAACATTATGCCAACTTCATTTCAAATTTTAATACATTTTCCGTGATCCGAAGTGTGGTATTCTTGCAGAAATATGAAAACAAACACCGGTACATTATATATATACACCGAATGTAACACAGCAATCTAATTATTTCGATCACAAATCAGTTTGCCAAAAAACTGATTCAAAATGTCACAATGGCGCACATTTTTTTATGTTGAACAATTCTGTATTTTGTACAAATAAAACTTTCCTTGACTACACACGTGGACATTATTATTACATGTATATCTATGTTCAATTCAAAATAGCATGCAGCAAATTGTATTCAATTTAATCTAGGGGTTTTCCAGTTGTAGCACTTTATTTAAGGATACCCAATTTTTTACCACCAGTGAATTCTGACACATATATCAGTACAGCAGGGTCTCCAAGCATGTGAACTCCAAATACGGAATGTTCCCACGGTGATCATTAACTAGTGGCGTATTCAGAAATTGATGGACGGTGGGGGGTGCCAAATGTACCTTGGCGCAGGCCCGCGTGCCATAGGCATGCTAGTGCTAGGGGGGTATGGTGGCATAGTCCCCCAGAAAATTTTGAAATATTTAAACCATTTTCCTGCAATGTGAGGCATATGTCTGATGACACTACATCAACCCTACAACCCTTGTCTGATTAGCAGACAAATTACGCGGCACATTGCAGACAGCGCCTGTCTGACTAGGCTGTTCCATTTACCGTAGACATGCCAGATACAAAATGCATAGAAACACATTATAACACTGAACAATAGTATGGTGGGGGGGGAGGGTAAAAAGCTAAGGTAATGGCAGAGAGCACTATGAGTGTGTATTTCCAGGAAACGAATTGGGCAGTGCTGCATCTCTACTGCACCAGCGCGTGGCCAGTGCTCAGGCACCAGCTGGAAAAAAAACAATGTGTCCAAGCAAACAATGCGAACAATCAGTCCAAATTGGGTACAGTGCAACTGAAATGAGGAATATAACCTTGCCACTGCGGAATCCGAAAATTAAGCCTAGAAATCGTAATGATTCCGCAGAATGAGGAATGGTTGGAGACCCTGGTACAGTGCCACAAACTAACCGCCACGATATTACTGGGTCCCAATAATTCCTAACTGATGGATGTTATGAAGAAAATCGTAAATTTGCATCAAGAATTGCCAAGTATAGACTACGTGGATATACACGATACGTTGAACCTTGTTCACTGTACTTCTCAATACGGAATTCCTTGCTACACAGCGCCAGTCACATTTTGTGGGCATACTGGGCCAACAGCCTAATATTAAGACTAGCTCATGTTTCCTTTGTAAAAACCACGTACACCCACACACACGCGGGAAATGCTAGCACGTTGTTCCTGTCTTTTCTCCATGCTCAATCTGCATGCACGCATCACACTTCCGCCATTACTCAGTCATTAAAGTTTGATTCATCGACATTCAACTTCTACGTACTTGCACCACCACGATTGATCACAACACATGCGGAGAAATCTCTGCAGCACATGCCCCATGTCAGGGACACTGTGCCCAAAATAACACAAACGTTCAGCAAAAATGGTCAGGCATGGCCACTTGAAACAAGCTCCCTTGAATCTCATTGCTAGCTATTGTTAAGCAAGCACTGACATGACTTTCCCAGAGCTTACTAGTCCTGGTGATAACTGCTGGTCCACTATTCACCAGTCGGTCTTATAAACTATAACACTACCATCTAATTTTGTTGCCATTTTTTACAGTATAGGCAAAGCCGGAGAACTCATATACACAAGGTACATGGAAGATAGTAATACTATTGACAGAGACGTTTTCTTTAGTACTATCACGATTATATAACATACAATAATTCGTTATTATTGACAATTCAAATTTTTTTACACAGACTTATACACATAATATAATATATACGTATACGTATATAATACACATAAATTAATTTTTGTTTGCAATAATTTAACCTTCTAATTTTTTTTGCCATTTGCTCCATGCAATGTAGTCATATACATGTAAACCCATTTAAAGAATCATTTTTAAACAAAAAATAACAAAATTTCACTTAGTAGAATTTCAATGGTTGGAACAGGTTACTGCAAACAAAAAAATCTTACAGGCAGCCTAAATTTATACACATTTTATGTCACATTTCGTCATTCGAATTCACAATAAAACATCAATCAAATAATTAGCTCACATAGCTATTAAACACCAAATGAATCTATGGATCATATCATCATAGAAAAACACACAATCACTATCTAGGTCTTACAATATGTGCTAGAGACACGAAAATGTAGCATGTATATATATTAATCACACTCTCCTACCACTTGCTCGCGATCAGAGATACAGAACAGAGACTGCGCAATCACCTTTCATATCGAATACAAGTCAACACTAACGACACTGCTTGTAGGTACGGCGAAATATTCACTTGTTAAGTTGTTAGCATTAGAGAGCAGCAGACAACACTGTCACTGTATGTTTTTTTCCAGGATAGACAGCAAAAGGAAGATAATATTCATATTTAATCCAGATGAGATGATCATTAATCACAATGATAATAAATTCATAGTCCATTTAATCATGATTTCCACACAAAATTGAAATATTCTCAGGTAAAATCCTAACAAGGAGTTTTGTGTAAATTGAGTAAACAAACTAATATCCTGATCAATCTCAATAAAATTGCTGAACTGGTGCAATTAGTGTTGACGTACGAAACAGGAATTGGAGTCTCTGTGTGTCTCAGCTCGCTGAAACCTCGCAAAATGTCCCCATCAAACAGGGGTGCATAGGTTAAATACAGCGGAGGTGTTAGACACAAATACTACTACAGTTTGAAAGACAAGAGCACGAAGGAAAACCGTTAGCGGTTTTTAAGGTCCGATATATAGTTCTGTCTACACAGGATATTTCAAGACGAGAAAACCAGGAGTGAAACAATACTGATGAGGTAAGAACTTAATACTACGGCAACCTGGTACCGTGCATTCCTGAAGCAAGTCAAATGTTTGCCCAAGCGCGTACAGAGACCGCCAGCGAAAAAGTTTGCTTAAAATGTTTGCGTCATTAACCGACAATTAAACGTGCAGCTGCACAAAAACGTTCAAAGGAAAATGTGTGTCACACTTGCACATTTCATATCATCAAATTATTTCAGTTGGAACATCATACAATAGTGATATGTGTACTCGCCTCTGTAGCGAATCTCGCATCTACACCCGCCAGTGGAAAAAATACACGGGGCTCGGGGCGATTTAGCCCCCGAAATGCCAAAAAGAGCCCCCGTAAATTTGCATAGAGTTCAATGCAAACCAAATTTTAGAGTGCTATTTTCATGCACGCGAGCTTGAAAAGTAGCCCCCGAAAAATAAATTTTATTTTTTTCCCTGACACCCGCAATCCCCCCCCCCCGAGTGTAAATTTACAACAGACTTGATGCGGCTTCAGGATTGCACGGTACGCCCCAAAACCCTAGCACACAAGTCTACAAGAGCTACAGTGTACATGCTGTCTCTGTGTCGACTCACAGCTGGCTTTGTACGGGCTAGAGTCTCTGCCACCAAAGTCAGAGTTACGGTCTTCTATGCTAATAGCAGGCCACCAATTGCCTCCACGGTTGCCGTAGTTACACCAACGATCATCAGAGTACCCACCACGGTCTCCATATCCTCGCCCGTCGCGACCGTCGTTGTAACCACCCTGATTAGGAAAGCTCCTGTAATCTTCAAACAAAGTCATACTTTGAGACTGGATAGCCAGCCGCTGTGGCATGGGGGCGGCACACGCAGGAAACACATGTATTTCTATAATGCACCACAATTCAAGCATTTTTAATTGGTATACAAATTTGTCCTTATTGTTACTATATGTGTTATTAGCAATATTAATATAACGCCATATATCTCTGTTCCCTCTTCCCTTTGCTCACTCGCTCACTCTTTCACACATTTCCCTTCTCACCCTCCCTCTGTATATCTACCTCCTCCCCTTCTCTCATGACAGATCACCTAATGTTCCAGAAAAATTAGCTCCAATATACTACTATATATCATTCCGATTTGAATACCATTAAGTGAATACTTCTGCACCCAGAGTTCAAGTTTAGGTTCTCCTCTATGTATCAATAAACAAGTAACCTTTAAAGTCAACTGACTTATTGTTTGCTGAAAGAGTTGAGGCTAGAGAAACATACTAAAAAAAGCTGTGCACTATGAACAACACTTTCATGCATAGGTTTTTTCGACAATTTTCAGTAAAAAGGATTTGATCACGGGGGAGTTTCATATGTACGCGAATTTTATCATATTCCATTGGCACTAGTCTTATCAAGAATGTAACTTGTAAGCAATCCATTCCTGGCACTGAAGCAGATCGCCTACCGATTATTGGGATAAAGCCAAACACAAACCCTATGCGCTGCACAGAAACATGTTTTCAATACAGCAACAGATACAGCATATAACTATGCTTAAAAATTCTAGTAAGAAACTTATTATCTTTCAAGTAAAATCTGTCACCACAACACCAACGTTTCTACAAATGCTAAAGTTACATTTGCGCACATTCCTAGCAGTGCACATTTACATTTTTTTTATGCATGCAATCAGCTATAACCATCTAACAAAAACCACTGTTACCTGACAGACTGCTCACAACAACTGCACAGAATGCGTACACCCTCAACTCAGTAATCAACTACAGTTCTGAGCAGAAAAGGACCTGCACACCAATTATGTGGAGGACCCGACTACCTACCTGGTTGATTGCCTCCCCCACCTCCTCCCTGCCGCTGGTGTGGTGGGATGTACTTCACTCCTAGAAACGAGCAAAATTTATTTATGTGGTATCTTTTTTTAACCAGCACATGTTGTGATCTCACAAACCTATTTAATATTTAGATAGGCACCCAGAGGCATCACGATAGCAATAATTGGCACCGAGGAATCATGATAAAGTTTTTCGGTGAAGCAAACAATCATCAGATGTCAGCGGCAAAGCGCTCTGTAATTGATTGACTGCCGAAACTCGATTATATGTTGAAATTTCATACGAAATAATACAACAACTTAATACACCATCAAGTTGAAATGCATTAAGCATTGTGAAGTGGCACTATCTATTGTAACTCACTAGACTTGAAAAAATCAATAACTGTTAATACATTGCCTCACTATTGTTAGCAGCATTGTAATCCTCTTAAAATAGAATGAGTTGCAATGCAATAGTACCCTGTCAGTTTTATTTTCCGCACAACTGTCTTTGTAACGATCGTAACAGGGCAACAATTTGGATATTGGTAAATATCTACATGCTACAGGAACACATGAGTATTTACAAAATATAACTTACTTTCACCTGGTCTACCTCCCCCACGAAACTGTGGTGAGGAATTCTGCAAGTCTAGCCCAGCAAACTAGAACAGAAAAATTGTATATATATATATATATATATATTTAACTATATCTTTCTTTCTCCTCTCTCTCTTTCTCGCTATAAGCTATTTTAGATTCTATTACCATTTTGAATGAGCCTATTGGAAGGATGCTGCTTAGTAAATTATGGCACTTTATTAATACACAATGAGCAACTTCTTATACAAAAGAAAACCATCTAAAATAAACATGTGAATTAGGTCAAAAGGAAATTTTACCACTTATATAACAGCATGTAAATTTTAGGCCATACAAGGTAACAAAATTCACTGTGGCTATATGACAGGCAGCAGGGCACGGTCTTTGATTTCCTAACCCTAACCCTTGTTTACTTGAGATAACGCTGAAAATTACGGTAATAAAAACTGCCGGGCATTTAGGAAATTGAAGACCGTGCGCGGCAGCCGTCAGATATATGCCGGCTGCCAGGCATATAGCCAGTCTGAACAAAATTCATTCAACTATGTTGAGCCCTATACTGACTTTATTGAATTACATTAGCGTTTTTGAGTGCAAGTTCTTAGTTTTCACATTATGGATTGTTACATCCATCCTAATTAGCAGGATGATGTTTTTGAAATTGTCTTCAGAAAAATTCACCGATTTTGAAACAAATTATTCAGTCATTATCATTTAGTGCCTGGATCAGTAGATTACTAAAGTATTCATTATCAACACAACACCACACTGTGAACAGCATAATATTATTAGTACTAGTAGTAAGTAATACTAATAGTAATAGTAATACTAATACGTGACCTAATTAATATCAATCCATAGATTTCTTAGCTTGGAAGTCAGAACGAAATTTTATTGATATTAATTAGACGATACGTTTAGTCCCGTTTCTGCGTTAGTTCTTACTTTTAATGTAAAAAAATGGCAACACAAATTTGACAAATTTTACCATAGAAAATTCGTGACGTACCGGTACCGGTACGGCGGTAGTCAATTTAACATCGCTAGTCACACTCCCCAACACCCGGACGTTGTCTCGGCGATTGTCGTGGAGTGGCAATACCGATTTAGTTAACGTCACGGCCCATAACGAATTTATTCGGCAATGCTTTCAGTTTCACTCTCACACGCATGCACCAACAAGTCAAGTTTCTAACTGGAATATGTCTGACTGCGTTGTGCCACCTCGCGGCAAGCACCAGCCAGCCAGACGAGGAATCAGTGAAATTCTGACTAACAATTCCGCCGCATTTTAATGATCTTTTCCACGTTATTTCGACATTTTCTAAGGAAATTACATATTACTTCACATTCTACTTACGTGTTGCTCTAGACTAGGTCCATTTTGGTTGGATTCATGACTCATATTACACACAATTAAAGGAGAAAACTCCACGGAAATAAAGACTGCTCCGAAACTCTACAGCCTGACAGGAAAGCGGGCGACAAAGCGAAAACGCAGTGTTCACTTATCCCAATGACGTCATCTAGGGGACCATCCCCATTTCTTTAATTTCTGCACAATTTATACATTAACACGTAATATACAATAAAAATTATACACGCAGATTAAACTTTAAAAATACTATGGATATAATAGTTCTCTTCTTTAAAGCCTATTAATTTCTAAATTTGCGTTCATTGGTCGGTAATAAATTAGTTTGGACATGACCCCACCGCATGCCATAAACTTTGGAACGTCGCAAATTCTTACAAATTTATATAATAGACTTATTCGAAGAGTTAAATATCTATTACCTCAACAATTAACTACAAAAATAATTTATTAATAGATAATACTGTTGTTTGATTAATAATTACTTAAAACCATGTTTATCGTAAATTGGAGCGTTCTTTTTTGGGCCAACACCATATCGGTACGTTGTAGAATTTTACTAAAGTTTCGAAATCTAGTTTTTCCGTCGTAATATATAGATCATCTTGTAACTCATTTAGAGCCTAATAAGTAATAAAGTGTTGATAGTGCCAAATCCATCAGTTTTATTGGTAACTGCGTTAGATTATACTAGTATTTTGATTAATTATCACCGACCAGAAGTTGTGTATACATGTTGAATACAGTACCTTCTCAATGTTAGTTAACTTGCACTAATAATATTTTACTGTCGGTGCAACATTCGTTAACATCTTATTAACGTGTTTCAGTTGATATGGGAAGAGTAATCCGTGCCCAGCGAAAAGGTGCTGGTAGTGTCTTTAAGGCACACGTGAAGACCCGGAAAGGCTCACCAAAGCTTCGCCCAGTCGACTTTGCAGAGCGTCATGGTTATATCAAGGGAGTCGTCAGGGTATGAAACTCGATATAGAATTTTGTTTTGTTGTAGTCGTACGAAAATGAAAGTAAATATAGTGAGAACTACAGATTTCCTACAATGAGTAGATTTTACGTTATTTCTGTTGTTGTTCACACTTTCACACGTTTTATGAACGAAGTGCCTAAATCCACTTTAGGCACCTTAGGCTTAGGTATCACGAAGATTCTGTGTATCATCAACTGATGCACAGACTTTCCATATACCAAGGAATGATGCAAAAACCCTAACCCTAAGTCATAAAGTATAACCTTAGGTAACCATATCAAGAAGTTGGTTAGGGTTATTGCATCATTCCTTGATATACGGAAAGTGTGTGCATCAGTTGATTGATGATACACAGAAATCTGTGCATCACTTCGTGATACCTAAGGTGCCTAAAGTGGATTTGCACCGTGGCTATATATGCCCGGCAGCCGGGCACGGTCTTCGATTTCCTAAATGCCCGGCAGTTTTTAATTTTCGTTGATTTCTCAAGTAAACAGTGTACTACGTGATCCAAAGTGATCCAAATTATTCTACATTTGTTTAGAAATGTCAAGTGATTTTCGTTAGAGCTGTATATTCGAACTAGCCCAATTCTCCTAGCTAGCTTCGGATCACTGAGCGAACGAACTCGCAATCGACACTTTTAATTTTCGGTGATTTCTCAAGTAAACTGGAGGGTTAGGTTGCCGGCTGCCGGGCATATAGCCACAGCGTTTTAGGAAAGTGAAATTATGTCAATGCATATTAAATTATTTGTGGTAAAAAAATGTAGGATGTGTTCACTCAAAATTGTAAATCCTTCTACGCATTATAGGACATCATCCACGACCCTGGCCGTGGAGCGCCCCTGGCCAAGGTACAGTTTCGTGATCCATATCGGTACAAGCTGAGAAATGAGCTGTTTATTGCTCCAGAAGGTCTGCACACTGGACAGTTTGTTTACTGTGGCAAAAAGGGTGAGTGCTTGCAAAACTACATTTTTATTAAGCTGCGAGGGGTTTCTTCGTGCATTGTGTGTGATGTTTAGGTACAAGTGAAAATCACACGTGTATAAAGGGGATGAAAAGGCTTGTGTGCCATTTTCTGTCTGTACCAGTCGAGTTTACAAATTTTTAATGAATCTGATCTTGTCAAAAGAGCTATGGTTGTTACGTATGCGTAGAGTTCACATTACAGAGAGATGCTTCAATTTTTAAGTGGTTGAATTTCATTACATGTGTGTGCCTGTGCATGTATGTGTGTACAAATTTTTCCCATGCTCAGTTTGTATTCAAGTAAATATTTCGTGTTTATGGTAGTTGTTATTGGTGATGATTCATGTCTCTGAAATCACTTTGTGATGCTTTACTATATGAGGCTGTTTCTGAGATTACACAACAACTAGGAAGAGATGGAAGCTGCAGAGTATTCACATGCGATATGAGTGTCTTATAGTCAGATTATTGCTTTATTTGTGATGTTCAATTCATGACAGATTTCTGGGCATATTTTACTAAAATTACCCTTGTACTGAAGTGCAAAACCAAATTGCTTTCAATAATGTTGGCCCATCGGCAAGTCTGTTGCAAGTAGAGTAAGTATCTTGCAAGCGAGTTGTCGTTTATGGGGTTGTCGTGTAAGTGGGTGGTTTTTTCGTGTGTTGGTTAATATTCGACACGTGTTTGCATTTGTACAATTTACAGCTCACCTGCAAGTAGGAAATGTGCTGCCAATATCTGCTATGCCAGAAGGTACCATTATCTGCAATGTAGAGGAGAAGACAGGGGATAGAGGACGCCTCGCACGTACGTCTGGCAATTACGCCACAGTCATCTCACATAACCCTGACACAAAGAGGAGCCGTATCAAGCTACCTTCAGGCACCAAGAAAGTTGTTCCATCTACCAACAGAGCTATGGTTGGTAGGTATCTCTGGAGAAACTGTTTACATTGCAGATAGGTGCTTCAATTTTTGAGTGGTTGAATTTCATTACAAGTGTTTGCATGTGCATGTGTACAAATTTTCCCTAGGCTCTTCTTTCCCATGCTCAGTTTGTATTCATGTAAACATTTCGGGTTTATGGTAGTTGTTATCGGTGATGATTCATGTCTCTGAAATCACTTTGTGATGCTTTACTACATGAGGCTGTTTCTGAGATTACACAACAACTAGGAAGAGACAGAAGCTGCAGAGCATTCACACGTGTCTTTGGGAAGAATTGAATCATTTTATTCAACACTATTTGCCAATTCATACTATAATGTGTATGTTATTTTATGTTGCTTAATTACAAAAACCAAGTTATGGCTTCATTAAGAGAGGTTTCCTGTTAGAGGTGTTCATTAACACGTTCAACGTTAAACACGAGTATACTCGTTCGAACCTGCAAAACGCACGGCCGCGAAACACGAGTATACTTGTTGTATACCAAAAAAATTTGTTGGAACGTTTACTAAGTTCTCCTATAGATGGCAGGGGCTGTACGCTTAGAAATTCAACAGCGTCACTGTATAAACCCCAGTAGTAGATGACATAATTTATACAATACTTTACTGTTGTTTGGAACGTTATTTTTGGAGTTTTTGGGACTGAGGTAATGTTTTCGGTTCACCTCGCCAAAGGGTGTTTGACCGCCTGTTGTTGTGAAGTTGTTTTGATGTCTGAGAGTTGTGTTTGATTTGATTGATCACGGGTGTTGTTTTGATGTCTGAGAGTAAGTTTATATCAAGAGCTAATATTACCTAGAGTGTACAACGGAAAAACGGGAAAATAGTGCTATTTCACGACAACATTATTCTACTTTGCCTGCGAGTCTATAATAATTTCATGGTATTGCATTAAGCAGAATTCTTTGCTCTCTAAAACAAGACCAACCGCTTGTCAATACGATACTCCTAGGCGGAGATATCGGCTCCTAAACCTCCCCTCCCACATGCCAAACGCCGCCTCGAATCCACTTCTGTCCCCATCCTTCACGCGGCTAAGCGTTGCTTCGTGAGAGTTCGGTTTTTCCGCCATAATTTTATGAATGATTTTCGGGTGCAGGTGCAGGGTGGAGGTGAGTTTCGGGGGCATCGCCTATGCCCTTATCTCCCATTATCTTTCCTAGCACGGCTAATGCCCGTCATGATGGAGCCGGCAATGTTTTTTTAATTAAGTCTCTACAACGCAGCTAGTAAGAGTACCAAATTTGGGCATGTGACATCAATTATCAGCGCTCCAAGCGGTGACGGAAACCGATAGCCGAAATGCTTAGACGCGTGAAGGATGGGGACAGAAGTGGATTCGAGGCGGCGTTTGGCATGTGGGAGGAGGTTTAGGAGCCGATATCTCCGCCTAGGAGTATCGTATTGACAAGCGGTTAGTCTTGTTTTAGAGAGCAAAGAATTCTGCTTAATGCAATACCATGAAATTTTTATAGACTCGCAGGCAAAGTAGAATAATGTTGTCGTGAAATAGCACTATTTTCCCGTTTTTCCGTTGTACACTCTAGGTATTATTAGCTCTTGTTTATATCTATATTATACTAGCCACTAATTATAAATAATTTTATAGCTAGTTAAACCTGCCAAAAACATTTTGTGTAATAAGTGACTAAGCGGGGAAAACGCGAAAATCTCAGCACAGGGCGTAGGTGCATTGTTAACCATGCAGCGTTGAACGTGTTAAAGGCATAATAGGCCCATTTAATATGCAATGTTGACGAATGCTACAGTAACTGGCACCTTGTGTAGTTAATAAGTACATAACCTTACATCCAACCGCCTATTAGCTTGTCCAATATCACTGCTGGTTACATTACAAGCAAGACTTGAAATAGGTTGTTGATATTTATCAACGTATCATTTACGTGCCGCAAATGTCATCTAGGAGTCAAGCGATGACGTAAAACATTTGTTCGGCTCGTATGTTTTGGACGCCAGATGAAATGGAGGTGCCAGTGGTGGTCCGTGTTTTGTACGTGGATTCCACGTTCATTACAATTATCACTAGCGTGCCAGCTGAGCGCAATACAGCGGCAAGAGCTTTCAAGCAGCTGAACGGTAACAGGTGAGATGATCTACCAGCGCGCAGAGATACTGCATGAACGAATGCATGCGTGCGAAAATGTCCGGTGCACTATAGTCTGTATCACACCCACTTCGGCGGCTGCAGTTTGAAACTGTAAACAACTGATTTATTTGACCGCGGATTTCAATTAGACATTTCTTAGTAACCAGCAGTGATATTGGACAAGCTAATACGCGTTTGGATGTAAGATTATGTACTTATTAACTACACAAGGTGCCAGTTACATAGCATTCGTCATCTTTGCATAATCAATGGGCCTATTATGCCTTTAAGAGAGTGAATGATTATGAGATTCAGTTCATTGAGAGAGTCCTGTGATTTTTCTTAGACATGTAATGTGAGTGATTAAGAGATGTTCATTAAGAGAGTCATTATTTTTCTTAGACACATAACGTAAAGGTTCGCGTTAGATCGGGTAGATAACTATTTTACATTCCATGTTACAGGTATTGTAGCTGGAGGTGGTCGTATCGACAAACCAATCATGAAGGCAGGTAGAGCATACCACAAGTACAAGGTGAAGCGTAACTGCTGGCCGAAAGTGAGAGGTGTTGCCATGAATGTAAGTAGTGGGTTGCTAGTGACGTTTATGTTTTGCATTGAATGTCATAAACTTTTTAGTTAAGTGTTGTGGATATGAAAGTTGAGTTTTATCAATAATATTATTTATAACAGTGCCCACTTGCAAATAATGATAGCATTCAAGTTAGAAGTTTTATACAAGTTGACCCTTCAATTAAAAATTCCATGGTTATGCAAGTTGCTATCGATGATGATTCATGTCTCTGAAATTATTTAGTGATTTTCAAATACTGAGGCTGTGGTTCTGAGATTGCAATGAGATTTGTGACCTTATCGGAAAATAAATTATGTAAAACCGTACGTAGATCTTAGCACCTGCACCCAACTAGTATGGCTATGTGACAACTATATCATCATCATCATCATCATCATTATCTTCGTTTATAGTCCATCTTTTCCCGTGCCTGGGGTTGGACTTGCGATGATCCTCCTCCACCATTCTCTGTCCTGCGTTGATCCTTCATCTATATTCAAGCCCTTCAGATCTTTCTGCACTGTCCCTATCCATGGTCTTTTTGATCTTCCAACCGGTCTTTTTCCAGGGATCTCTAATTCTTCCACAAACCTCAGTACTCCTCCTTCCGTCTCCCTTCTAACATGCCCAAACCATTGTAGTCTTCTCTGTCTAGTTCTATTCTGTATCTCTCTTAAACCACATCTCTTTGCCACTTCTTCACTGGATATCCTATCCTGCTATGTATCTTAGCATCTTTCTATCACATCTTCTCAATACATCTTCAACTCTTTCTGTCATAGCCCATACTTCCACCCCATATAACAAAACGGATGTTATGCAAGCTTCATAGACATTGCCTCTGATCTTTAACGAAATACTTCTGTATACTAACAAACTAGCCATCTCTCTCCATTTCTTCCATGCAGCTGCTACTCTAACTCTCACAGTTCTCTCTGTACCCACCTCACACTCACAGTCCACCATATCACCCAGATAGCAAAACTCATGAACTTCCTCTATGTTTCCTCCCGTAGTCCTCAGTCCTCTTTCACCTTCCTCCCTGACATGCTCTCTTCTGCAAGCCGGGCACCGAAAGTTCTATGTGACAACTATAAATGATGCATTTTCGCTAACCATTGCTGTGAGGCTAAGAATTTACAATTATTGTGTGTCGTGTTTTTACAGCCCGTTGAGCATCCATTTGGTGGTGGTAACCATCAGCACATTGGTAAAGCTTCAACTGTCCGAAGGGATGCGTCACACGGCCGCAAGGTATGGATCCATCATCTATTTCTAATATATAACAGTCTGCTGACAATGACCTTTTAGATACTATATTTTTCTACTTTAATTAGTACTGCCCTTTCATATCTACTTTTATCAATTGTCAGTATGAATAAACAACAAAGTGCAACAGTATTAGTGCTGGGGAGATGAAACTGGTACATAAATACATGGTTGAATTCAGTAATTGTTATCTGTGATGATTCAAGCCTCTGATATTACATTGTGATGTTGAAACACTGAGGCTGTGGTTCTGAGATTGTGGGACTTGTAAAATGTGTACAAAAAAAAGATTACCCAGCATAATCGTTCCTATGTTCAATGTGACAGTAACTAAAGACAGAGCTGCAATTTGTTTAATCGCATTTGTGCTCTTTCTTGTAATGCTATTAGCGAATATTTTCAGTACAATTCATCTTGTATGGTTATCAGTCTACTCAACACTTGTTTCTTGTGTCTTTCAGGTCGGTCTCATTGCTGCTCGCAGAACTGGTCGTCTACGTGGTAGCAAGCCATCTGGCAAGGAAGATTAAACTGTAAATGTATATGGAGAAATAAAAAAAAGTCAAGTTAATTCTTTATTGTTCATCTTTTTTTTGTCATAGAATGGTGTGGAAGATAACAGAAGCGAACCACTTGTGCTACATAATTTGCTTGTCTAATAAGAAGTTCGATTTATTCCTAAGACTGTCACACTGAGTATGTGTGTTATCAAAATTACTTGAGCACCACATGATACGTCAACACTATCTGGTTGCCTATCTAACATTTAGGGTAGTACATGTGTTTAGAACAATGTTAGGTCAAAATTTAGAAGAGCAATATTGCGGTCGTGTTGGCACATTATCTGTGGACGTTTTCAAGCCATCTGTCTAAATTTAATGCCTCGAATGACACTACAGTAACGTAGTTGTCTTCTTGAAAACAAGTATATGAGGATAGTTTATACTTGAGCCATAGAGTGTAAAACAAAAGGCGTTTAGCTTTTCACTTCTTATTCTGCTGGGCTCATGTTTTCGCGCAATACAGCAAAAACTCGAAATAACACTACTTAGATTTTACATTTCTATGGACAGATATAGCATCCCAGCGACACCTTTTGGATTGAAAATATTCTATTAAACGTATTTATGGCGCCGCTGGGCGGCGCTACATGGTTATTTTTAATTCAGCATGGCCGCGCTCTTGAAGAAAAGAGCTCTAGCCGAATACAGTCAAGTTATTCAGGTTTTGCATACATAGAAATTAATATAGATTAATCAAAGTTGGTTGGGCCCTTTTCAGATCTCCCTTGCCAACTCCCTTATCTTATTACAGTGTATTATGCCTCGAGTCAGCCAAAAAAAGCAGAATGATATCAAGGCTACTTTATTCTTACTTCTAGTTCTACAGTCCTATTTCTAATTCTATCTACTCTACTCAAATACATCAAAAATAAACAAAACCAAATATCGCACTGGAAATTAAATAAGCGAATTTGCAGCCATAGTTACAAATACTTGTATTATAATTATTTACAAACTAGTCCTGCAAAAATGTAATGTTAGTTCCAGCACTGCACTGCAGTATAGACTAGGCATAATTCCACATAAGTCATAACATTATCCATTCATGCAGTTACTGAGTTAGTAAATACTAAATACGCAGTGGCTCGTGCTCTGGACCGGTAACCGGAGTGGGAGTTCTTTTGGCTCGAGCTCTAGAAATCCCAAAATGCATTGCAAAGTCATCAAGTGAGCATTTCTCAGCAAAACGGCGGAGTATTTTGGTTGGATGGAATATCAAAATGCAACATTTGTTCAATATTATCATACAGATTCACGGACCATTAATGCTGATAAGAAAAGTGTACTGAAACGAGTGGAAAATGCTAACGAAAATTTGAAGCATAACACCAGAAGTAGATAATAGGGAAGGAGTATGACTTCAATAAACAAGGGAAATTCGTCATTTACTAGCCTTAGAATACCTACGATTTACTACGCGTAACTCAACCAACGAGCTCAAATCGTACACAGTACATTCGCCTAGCATCGTGCGAAATCGTTTCCTCTTATACACCCGCAATCCGGAGATCAGTGAAAAAAATACACGGGGGCTCGGGGCGATTTAGCCCCCGAAATGCCAAAAAGAGCCCCCGTATAAATTTGCATAGAGTTAATGCAAACCAAATTTTAGAGTGCTATTTTTATGCACGCGAGCTTGAAAAGTAGCCCCCGAAAAATAAATTATATTTTTTTCCCTGCCGGAGATACAGACTAAAACGTATGACACGATTCTCCATTCTGTTGCCAGCAAACCGAATCCATAACCCGCCGAACTTGAAACAATAAGCAGCTACTAATATCTTGCGCACTTTTGTGCCCTCGGCGATGCGGTGTGGCTCGCTGGGAGATTGGACATCGACGCAACACTCGGCGAGCTAATCTTTGACCTATTTACAGCTGGTATGCCCCCACGCACGCACGCCCACCGCAATCATCAGCAGCTCCAGCTCCAATCTCTCAGTGAGCCACACCGCATCGCCGAGGGCGCAAGAGTCGTTAGTAGCTGCCTATTATTTCAATTTAGGCGGGTTATGGATTCGGTTTGCTGGCAACAGAATGGAGAATCGTGTCGTACATTTTAGTCTGTATCTCTGGATTGCGGGTGTATACGAGGAAACAATTTCGCACGATGCTAGGCGAATGTACTGTGTACGATTTGAGCTCAAGTTGGTTGAGTTACGCGTAGTAAATCGTAGGTATTCTAAGGCTAGTAAATGACAAATTTCCCTTGATTATTGAAGTCACACTCCTTCCCTATTATCTACTTCTGATTACACTGATCTATGCTTGTGTTGTTGGAGGAAAGCGCTTCATTGCAAGACTGCCAAGAGGCACAGGCAAGAGACCAGATTGCATACAAGGTTCATGTGCAGCCATTTTCTGCGTTGCGCTAAGAAATGCTCACTTGATTACTTTGCAATGCATTCTGGGATTGCCAGAGCACGAGCCAAATGAACTCCCGCTTCGGTTACCGGAGCACGAGCCACTGCGTAGTAAATAATGTGTTTTTGTTGTCTTCATTTAGGATTCTGTTCTTATTTCATTGTTAGGAAGAGCCTAGTACGTCAACTACTCCTCCACAGAAGAAGTTACGCTTAAGAAAGCTTCCTAAGCCTTCTCCAGTAGAACTCGATCTGCAAAATGCTACGAGTTCTGATCACACATTGGAGCTGCTTTTAGCTTTTAGAAAACAGTTACCTTTGGGCAATGCTGAAAACACTGAAACCTTGGTCAGGTACTATATTTATGCCAGATACTCAGTCGCAGAATATTAAGATGGGGTTCTGTATAACAAAGGTACCAGGACTTCCAAAAACATAGTATGTAATAAATAAAATAAACCATCGGTTTCTTAGTCGGTTACGTCTTACCTTAACAAGCATTGTTTAGTTAATGCATGACGCTACTACTCTACATTAGGACCATCTGCTGTGTGCGTTGATACTCGGCTAACGTCTCACGGGGCTGTGATCGGTCGTATCGGTACACGCCACTGTCTCACGCTCACTATCTCTTGCGCTCGTTAGGAAGCTGCTCGTGCAGTTCTACAAGGAGAAGGAGTCACACGTGCGTGTCCAGCTCGTGGCCGTGCTTGGCGACCTCGTACGAACGCCCGGCTTCGACTGCTGCTGGGTCGTAGAGGACATCAGCGGCTGTCTCAAGCAAGAGTGTAAGCACCTCTCGCTAATCTCGCAGCCTGTCTCGCAAACTTGCCTAGGGGTTTCTCCCCTGTTGTCTCGGATCGGCCGCTTATGGGTGGTTTGCAAGACGGAACGCAGATTTGTCTCGGAAACGTGTCGTTTTTGGTTACAGTAGTGCAGTGCATGTTGTGCTTTTTACTGTTGTGTTTTGTAAAAAAGCTTGCACATTTGTTACCATGTGATACATTGGTAATCATTAGTGATATTTCCACCCACATTTGTATAGGATATTTTATTTATGGATGTCTGTGTGAGATGTGGCCTTATTTTTTTCATTTTAGCCTCTCACAAGGTCATAGGGCAGATCCTGCATGCATTGTTGATCATAGGAAACATGTCACCAACTGATGTAAAATTACATCAACAGTTGGTGAAACTGGCAGAGAATGTAAGTGTAATTACACGGTCACAAATTGTTTCAAAGATGTATCTGTATTTCGTAATTAATTCTTCGTAATCGAAGATGTGTTATTGATGCTTTTTGTCCAAATTATGACATGCATTTTTAACAATGCCTATAACAGCCCAGATTGTAATGAGTATGTGTGTGAATGCATATATTATATCCGTGTTGTTGTGACGGATGTACTGACTGCATTAAATTATTGCAAATTTGTTTTTTTCATTTCTGCAGTATCTCAGTGATAAAGATCATCTTGTGCGAAGCAAATGTATAGAGTTAATCGGCGATCTAACGCCCATCATCGGCCGACCAAACCAGATTTCCGCCGTGCAGAAGCTTCTCGGTGACCTCTCCCAAGATCAAGATCCCAGAGTTAGAACGAGTGCTTTCTTGGCACTGGTGAGCATGCTGCTTCTTTTAGCTGATCAATTACTTGTGCTTGACATGCGCACGTGGGTGTTTGCATGCCAAGAGTTGTTCCTTTGTATTTATTTCCATTTTACTTAATTGTATTTTTTATCTCATCTAAATTCTTATAAACAGTATACCAATCTGATTCGTGTGACATCATATGATGAGATGTTACCGCTCAAGTAGGTAATATAGAAGTTGAATTCCAGAAATCATCGTGCAATTATCATGTGTATGAACGATGGATGCTGCATGTGTCACACAGGGGTAGAAAATTAACTTTTGAACACGGGAGTCTAACAGGGTTTTCCCTACCCTCAAAAAGAGGGAGTCCGCAGCAAAATGAGGGAGTCCGCAGTCTGAAGTTCAAAATTAAAAATATTAACAATAACGCATGTGCTTATTTTTAAGATTCATGCGGTTGCACGTCTGGCAAATTATTTTTTGACTTACTGAAAAGAAACGGTAATTCCGCGGGGCCATGCTCTGGAACGAACTAGTTAGAACGGCAGAATTTTCAGGGAGTCACACGGACTCCTGCATATGTCAAATCAGGGAGTCCGACAGTAAATCAGGGAGTATTTGACGTTAATTTTGCACCCTGGTCACATGTTCGATTCTACGATCTAATTCTGCTCTCTAGGTTACATTTACATGCAAATTCAGAGTGTTGACAGAGGAAATATTGCAGAGTCGTAAATGTTAACTTTGTATTTGCTTGACACGGCTGACTTTGCATCTGAGAGTTAACAGGGGAAACAGTGCAGAGTCGTAAATGTTAACTTTGTATTTGCTTGACACAGCTGACTTTGCATCAGCGAGGAATCCAGCTGGACTTGGAAGTATATGACCAGGTGTGCCAGGCGCTATCTGACGATTACGAAGGAGTCAGACTGGCCGCCGTGAAACTGATCTGGGTGATAAGCCATGTCTACCCCGAAAAGTAATTCTTACTTGTCGACCATTGCGATGTATTGTTAAGAAAGAGTTTCAAAACATTTTTAGTGATTTAATAGATATTTCATCACTGACATTCTATGTTTCATCAAAATATTTTCAATCTTGATGAATCATATCTTAATTCTAGAGTTCAGGTGACTTTACTTCACCGTGTATGAATAGTGTTACTTGTGTGTTGTGCCTACAAAAATCCAATTGGTTCTTTCAAAGTCAAGTAAATTTGCCTATAACTATGAACGTTTTTCAGCAATGTCCCAATCAAGATTAAGACATAATTGAAATCTAACCTGTGTCGCCTGAGCCACAATTAAAAAAATCTTTGTTTGCCCTCACCCGACCCAGGCTGAAAAGTTTGGGTAGGTAGGTAGGCTTTTTTTAAGGGGTCTTTTTACAAATTCAGCATGGTGTCTACATGCTTGGGTGTGCTTGTGTGGAGATACCTTTTATGTTAAATGCTTGTTTTGCGTGGTACATATAATGTATTGCCTACAGATTTATATAATGTACAGTGATACAATTTGTTTAAAAAAAGATCAATAAAAAATTTTGAATCGGCCCCTTTTTGGCGGGTCAGTCGGGTGAGGGCAAACAAACAATATTTTTATTATGGCCTTGCAGTGTGAGGAATGTGACAAATGCACTACTATGTGTGATTTTTTCAGGTTTGTGTTGGCGGCAGACAAGCGACAGCAGATTCGTCTGGTAGATGATGGTTTTGCCAAGATATGCTACTGTCTCAATGACATAGCAATGAAAGTGAGGGCAGAGGCAGCTGGACTCCTTGTATGTATCTATATTTATTTTTCTTTTCAAATCTTTTTGTCAGGTTTAATGAGAAAGTTTGATAAAACCTCATGGTCATTTGTTAAAAATATATTTATATAGTAAACTCGTAATGGTAATTGCAAATGCAAATTGTAGTAGTTGATCATTGATATAGCTCATCAGAGATTTCCTCATAATAATTTTTGATAAATGAAATTACATTTTGTAATATTACGTGCGTTGTAGGGTTCACTCCATCAAGTGAGTTCGACATTTCTGGAACAAACTCTAGACAAGAAATTAATGTCAAACATGAGGGTAGGTAATTTTTATTCATTAACTAAATCGTTTTTATTTCTATTGTATGCCCAAGAATGTGAAGAAATTGCTACATGAGATTAAATTTTTTTTAACAAATGATCAAGGATATCAGTAGGCACTGATAAATAAACTCAAATATAAAAATCCAAGAGTAACGTATAAACCTACTTCTTTAATTGATGAATTGAGAGCAAGTGTTGTAATCGGCTGCAGGCCAACATAAAATTTTACACTTTTCGTGATTCAACAGAGGAAGGCTGCTGCCCACGAAAGGCAGAAGGAGCAGTTTGAGAGTGGCGAGTGGGCGTCTGGGAACAAGTGGGCGTCCGATGCACCGAAGGAACTAATAAATGCCGAGAGCATGAGTATTATCACAACTGGGGCGTGTGGAGCATTCGTGCATGGACTCGAAGATGAATTTCTCGGTAGGCACTCTGTACTGGATTGAACATGGCGCGGATGTAATACGTATCATAGCATACTATCTACTACATGTTTTCTCCTGTCTATGTTGTCTTGCCTTCTCTTTCTTCATCTTCATCTGTCTCTCTCCCATGTTTATTTCACGCACCCCCTCTCTCTCTTCCTTCCTTCCTCCCCTCACGCCATGCCTATTTTTCCACACCCCTTCCTCACTTTTGCAATCCCTCCCTCCCTCTGTCCCTCCCTCCCTCTGTCCCTCCCTCCCTCCAAGCAACCCTCTCTCTCTCTCTCTCCCTCCCTACCTCCCTCTGTCCCTCCATTACACCCTCCCCCCTCTCTCTCTCTCTCTTGATTACTCCTTATCTTTAGCTCTGTTGTTATGTGCTATTTCTGTACATTACCATCATCAATTGTTACCGCTTATAATTCCTAAATATTTTCTCATGCTGTACAATATCATCCTCATCGTTACCGCTTCTAATTCCTAAACATTGTCCCCCGCCGCGCACACGCATTGTAGAGGTGCGATCGGCTGCCGTCGACTCCATGTGCGAGCTGGCCTACCAGAACGCCGACTTTGCGTCGAACAGCCTCGACTTTCTCGTCGACATGCTCAACGACGAGGTGGAGTCGGTGCGGCTGAACGCGATCAACAGCCTGTGGAAGATCAGCGCGCACGTCGTGTTACGCGAGGACCAGCTGGAGACGGTGCTCGCCGTGCTGGAGGTGAGAGACGAAGAAGTCGTGCTGAGAAGGGGTGATGGGGGGAGAGAGGGGGAGTGGGAGAGAGAGAATAAGAGAGCTGGTGAGCGAGAGAGAGAGATGAGGGGAGAGGGGAGGAGGAAGCCAGGACCAGCTGGAGACGGTGCTCGCCGTGCTAGAGGTGAGACGAAGAAGCCATGCGGAGAAGGGGTGATGGGGGGAGAGAGGGGGAGTGGGAGAGAGAGAATAAGAGAGCTAGTGAGCGAGAGAGAGATGAGGGAAGAGGGGAGGAGGAAGCCAGTACCAGCTGGAGATGGTGCTCGCCGTGCTAGAGGTGAGAGACGAAGAAGCCACACGGCTTCCCGCGCGGAGACAGGATGCTGGGGGGGGAGAGGGAGAGAGAGAGAGAATAAGAGAGCGCACAAGAGAGAGAGAGAAGGAGGAAAAGGGAGAAGGAAGAGAGTGAAAGAGAGTCAATGTGAGACAATTCCTGCGGAGACGGTAAGTAGTAAGAAACCACATTGACGTGATGATGCTGTAGCTACAACGTGTTCCACATCTCCCTCCTCCATAGCAAAAACGCTCGACGGAAGCCAGAAGAGAGAGAGTGCAAGAGAGAGAGGGGGAGCGAGAGAGAGGGGAGAGAGAGAGAGTGAGAGAGAGCAAGAGAGACAGTGACAGAGAGAGAGAGAGAGAGAGAGAGAAAGAAACAGAGAGAGAGAGGGAACGACCTCTCATGGAGGTGATTTGCTTATTGATAGGATTTTGCCTTCGATATACGAGAGGGTCTTCGCGGGCTGCTGAGTGCATCGCATTTGGGAACGTCAGCATGTGTGAAGATGTGCATCCATCATCTACTTGCCAATCTGACCAGATACCCACAGGACCGCGTCTCCATATGGAAGTATGTCCTTTTTAAGGAAACCTGTGTTGGTTGCAGTAGGTCGACTATAGATGGCTTTGCACACATGTGCCATTGCCATTGTGTATGGAAAAACAGTGGGAAGATATTTGTTTCGAACATTTAATTATCAATTTATTGATAATAATATAAACATCTATAGATAATTACCAGACTTATTACTTACCCATTGCTGCCTGCCTTGAGTTAATTTGTTCTGTATTAATTGCAAACGTTCTTGATGTTCTCTTGTAGCAGGTGCATACAATAGATAGGAAACAAAAATTAGCCTCTCATCTACACATCGCTCTACCTTTTACCTATATCTATAACTGCACATTGTAAAAGATGCAGAAATGCCGAATTTGTTTCGCTTGCTGAAATGCTGTTGCCATCATTAGCATTATTGGCCGTGATAGATTTGTGACTTTGTTCTGCTCTCTTGTGCAGGTGCATGCAGCAAATAGGGAAGAAGCATTCTAGTCTAGTGCTGCCATTGGTTCCAGAGCTGCTTGCTAGCCATCCGTACTTTGACTCAACGGAGCCGGACATGGATGATCCTGCCTGTATCCATTTTTCAGAAGTTGTTAGAAGTTGCTAAGCGTAGAATTGAATAATGAGATTTTAAGGAGTTTATTTTAACCAAGTGTTACCGAGTAGGCCATGTTTAGCAGATGGATAAGGATCTAGTAGTTGAGAATGTATTTCTGAAAGTTGCTTAAAGTATGAGGTCATTACTCATCATTGATATACAACATTAGCAGTCATATAGTTTTGTTCACAACATTACCGTAGTATATGTTACCGCCAGGCTGCAACTTTGGAGCTTTTGCGTGTTATTTCTCTTCAATATGTATGTCTTCTTGGGATATTTATTTATTTTTTTATGATATAGATTTTTATTTATTTATTTAGTTTTTATTGCCATCGTCCTTGACTTGTATATCTCAGACATAAGCACGCTGATTCTTGTGTTCAACGCTGCAGCTGGATGCGCCACGATGATTCCCATGTTCCATGATTTTACTGTCAGCCATTACTCGTATCTACGTGATAGCTTTCCTGACTTGATTCCAGAAATATCAGTAAGCACATGCTGGTCTCATTACATTGTTAGTTATCTTTGGTAATACTCCACTAAAATGTTGAACCCACTCAGCAATTGTAGAAAACGGTGTAATTTAGAGCAATTAAGGCTATTGGAGACGTTTGTAGGTGTTATTTTTGTAATTATTTTTAATTAATTCTACAATATGGAACATGTTGTACCATAAGTCATAGGGTGTAGAATTTTGAAGGTCATGACTTATTGAATTCATACTATAAACATCTGTGTTTTGACTTTGCAGGAAATATCTCTTCGCACATCTCTGCCAACAGAGGAAACAAACAAAGCTGTTGACCCAGCTATGTTCTTGCAGCAGACCATTTCTAGACTGTCTACGTGCAATGACATGGATAATTCCCCAAGGCAGTCTTTACTGGAACTCACTATTCGGTACAGAATTATTGACACTATCTGCCATCTATCTACTACATCCTGTTTCTAACGGCCCTCTATCCTGGCTAGCATTGTTCCTTGAGCTATGCAAATGAAATACTGCGCACAAATAATAGTCTGTTATATCGACACTTACTTATAAACTGGTCACTTAGACACTGCCTGATATAGTACCAACACTATAGGTGTAATAGCAAATTAGATTTGTAATTGATTATCTGATTCTCTCTACCTGGATGACTGGAAACATTCTAAAACTGTTGGGATGCAACTAACTCTTAAAGGCAATCATTGCAAGTAACTACTATCAAGAAAAATCAAATGCAAAATAGCCGTTAGGTCCAGGTAGACAATTTTGGAAATCTGCTTTTATTTTCATAGAGACCTGCAACGAATAAAAGTCGTTGACAAGAAGTTGTCTGCAAAATCAGAATGTTTGTCCATGTACCTCGAGTGTCAGTTGCTACTACAAAAGGTAAGAGGAACATGTGGAAGGTACTTTCAAATTATTGATATTTATCAATGTCTCATTCAGCAAGAGGTTGTCAGACCTATAATAGTAACAGTAACATAACTGCTACTGTTGCAACTATAGTCTCTGTAACTATCAGGATTATTTTTTGCGGAAACGTTAACAGAATGTAAACATTATTTTGACTTTTCTTATCTTGTTATATCTTATTTATTCGATTTTCTTTATCTTGTTGATGAATAATTTTGTGATGTCTTGTTTTTAAAGGCACTATTTAATCGGCAAGGAGGGTCGTCGGGAACAGGGTTTAGTTTACAGCAAAATGCAACTGCATCAGTTCTGGCAGAGAAGGTATAAACATTGATTCTTCATGAACTTGTTCTAGTAAATATTTTCATCTGTAATAGATTACAGGTGGATATTAGAACGAATCAGGTGTTAGTAGTTCTGACGCGCAAAAACCGTGAATGTTTGACATAGCACGCAATGAAAAATTTCCTTAGTTGTTCCGTTTGTAATTTCACAAAGTTTTGCAATTCCATACACTGCCGGCGTCTAGTTCTAGTTGAAGCTGAACTAGATGAAGTTTTTTTTTCTTGTGTATATTTTTTCTTCATGTTGTATAGCACTGTTTTGTACTGTATCATTTTAACTGCTCAACACTATTGCATTTATCAGATTTTTTCTCCATGAAAAAGACTGTCTTCAGTACATGTACTTGTATTTTAATTTAAAGATTTAATAATAATAATAATAATAGTTCCGCTCGCTCGCTGCAGGTGATGAAACTCACGCACCGCATAGAGACGCTCTTCATGGGGCTGACGATGGCAGAGGTGTGCACGGTGAAGTGCATGCGCGTGTGGGCACACACAGTGCTGATGCTCGTCGACGTGCAGGGAACGCAGAAACACGGCACCAAGGTCATCCTCTGCGAAGAATATCTCGACCGCCTGCGAAACCTTCAGAGGTAATTCTCAGCGGAATTCGATGGCCGACGTCGCGAAATTGCGTTAGGTGTAGAATTCTGTGTTGAAATTAGCTTCGAGCCTCAGCAAGTAGAAAGCATCGCTAGAGAATTAATTGTAAACATACCAGATACTCACAGCTATACACTATATATTTATATATAAATGGTATTATACTTTCTTCCGGCTCAATTAATATAGCAATGGAAAACACATTGTGCCATTTGCAATTGAATAAATATCCGCGGGGCATGTAGTGAGTATTAATGAGCGATTGGTAGTAAAGAATATTTTTGAATCAGCGTGGATTGTCGTTTCGTTGCTAGGATCCTCGGAGAGGTGGACGTATCCCCGGACGGATTCATCCGAGCCGTGTTTGCCGAGCTGCCGAAGCTCGACGTCGCCAACCCGGCCATCATCACCAGCCTCGTGCAGCCGGAGCTCGTCCTGCACCGACCCGTCATGCTCGAGCTCGCGAACCACATCCGCCAGGCGGCTGCGACCATCGTCGAGCCGGCCGGGATGTCCGACAACGCGCTTAAGTTCACCGCCGGTCTCACGCTGGCCGTGCATCTGGACGTCGTGCTCGAAAACGTGGAGAAAATGGACGCCGTCAGATTGAAGGTGACATTTTGTTGTTCTCGAAAACATGGAGAAGATGGACGCCGTGTGATTGAAGGTGACGTTTGCGCCATTAGCAGCAGCGCACGCTCGATCACACGACTTGGAATCCTGCCGGGCACATTAACTGTGATCAGATCCGATCCGATTTCAATAGGAGCATGTGCTGTTAACGCATGTATACCTAATGTACTTGATATTCGTCTTTTCCATTTGTGAAAAATTATTCGACACGTGTCTATCAGGTGGGTGGCACAGAATGCCAGGTTTAAAAGCCCCGAGTTATGAAACGGTACTTTTAAATCCACTGTCAAGCCACATTTTTAATGCTTCCCAGCTTGTCTAGCACGTGAGAATTCTGATAAACCATGGTGTTTCTAAAGGTCATGCATCTGTTTCGCAGGTTACTTATCCGGACACAAGAACAGATCTGCTTATTCCAAAGGTGTCTGACTTTAGAAAACTTAGTCTACTGCGACATCGACTTGTGACAAATGTCTGTCTTTCTCACGGAGTGTGGAGTGGTATGTTAAGCAGGAATATTCACCTCACTTACATCTTGTAATATCTAATGTTGTAGGTGTTTTCATGTTACTAGCTATATACCTTTTCACCACATTAGAAAATCTGCCCTATTCTTCACTTTTTCAGTTTCGTAAATGTTAGGAATTGTATCCAAATTCACTAAAACAAATCAGCAAGAATATTTGTTTCAAATTCTCAGTTGGTGAAGTTGTGAAAATGTTTTTGTATATTTTTTTATCTTGACTTATCACTTATTTTTTCTTCTTGTTTTTCTTTTTCGACAGAGGCATGCCACGTGGAGATATCAATTGCCATGTGCCCTCATGATTCAGAAGGCAACAAACGAAAGGGCACACAACAAATGGAATTCATTGAACTTTGCCCACCTGTGAAAGTGTACGTTTCCCCAGCAGCTGCTAAGAAATCATAGCAAAATATCAAACCTCACGTGGAATCTATTGTTAATACCTGATGTGTTCACAGTATCTCATTGAACGTAGACGGTATTTCAAGTAAAATGTTGAGCACAGCAAATGTTTATAATATCCACACTATTTGACATGTGGGGGAGAATATTTATGCAGTCAATGCCATACGTTCTCTACGTGTGTAGTTGTTGCAAGACAACCAGAATATCATCCGATAGGCTTGTATGCACTGGAGTTTGGCTAATTAGGGCAATCTATAAAATAATATATATAACAGGGTTAATTTTTACTCAACCGTGAAGATTGGAAACCTACCGCTTACGTTTCACCTCCTGCCAGGAGGCTTTCTCAAAGCTAACTGATGATAATCAGTTTTGACCACCAGATGGTGTGGTGGTCAATAGCTTAGTCCACACGTGACTAAGCCTGTATCCCCCCTCGTCCCGGTTGATGTTTGAGGTCTTGCGGATCCAGATGGCCTCTTTAATGCAACGCCTGATTTTGATTGGCTCGCGATCGATGATCTTAGAATTCTCCCAATTGATGGTATGATTGTCTTTCGCTACGTGGTCAGTGATTGCGGATTTGGTGATTTCGGTAGCTGACTGTTTTCGTTGGGCCTTTGTGAACGATTTGGGTGCTGATCATCGCCTTCGGTTTCTCCGTGGAGGTTTTCTTTTGGGATGTTGTTTTTCCCCGTGATGTGTTTATTTCCTTGGACACTTTTTCGAGTGTCTAATTGGGGTAGCTGCATTTTCCTAGTGCGTTCTTGATGTCACGTGGCGTGCTTCAGCTTCCCGGTCCTCACTCTCCGTTATGATCTTGTCCTTACGATCAAGTAGCGTCCGTACCACTGACAGTTTGTGGTTGACTGTGTGGTGTGAGGTGAAGTTTAAGTGCTGGTCTGTGTGGGACTTTTTCCTATACACCGTCAGTTTTAGTGAACCATCTTCTCGTTTATGGATGAGTGTGTCGAGGAACGGAATTTTTTGATCGAGTTCTTCCTCGTACGTGAATTTGATGTTGTTGGTACTGTCGATGCTGTTGAGGTGTTCTGTCCATTGTTGGTCTGTACCAGACTTGATGATTTCCAATGTGTCATCTACATAGCGTAGCCACAATTTAGGTTTGAGATCAGACGGTGCTGTCTCAATGGCTTTCGTTTCAAGCCATTCCATGTAAAGATTGGCAACGATAGGTGAGACCGGGCTACCCATGGCTGCTCCGAACTTCTGGTTGTATATTTGGTCTCTGAATTTGAAGTATGTGGTCGTAAGGACGAACATGAGCAATTCGATGATATCGTCTGTGGTGAGGTTGGTTCGCTTCTTCAATGTTTTGTCTGCCTCCAGTCTCGACTTGATTATGTTAATTGATTCTGGGATTGGAGTGTTGGTAAAGAGTGAGACAACGTCATGGGAGACTAATATCTCGTCTGGTTTCATACGTATAGTTTTGAGTTCCTCTGCTAGTTCTGTTGAGTTCTTGATGTGATGTTCGGTGGTGCTTACCAAAGGGGCCAGTAGATCGGCTAAGCTTTTTGACAAATTGTATGCTATGGAGCCTGTGTAATCGACTATAGGTCTATACGGGTTGCCTTCTTTATGTATATTTTAGGTCTGCAGTAGATTCTTGGTACATTTTCGACCGTAGGATACAGGAAATTGTACTGGGCTTCAGTAATTTGGTCTTCTCTTTTCAGACGTTGGAGAATCGCCAATAGTTTGCTTTTATATTTCGTTGTAGGGTCTTTCTTTAATTTCCCATAGGTCTTTACATCGCTCAACATAGTATTGACTTGTTTTTCATAGTCGTCCTTTGAGTATCAGTTAGCTTTGAGAAAGCCTCCCGGCAGGAGGCGAAACGTAAGCGGTACGTTTCCAATCTTCACGGTTGAGTAAAAATTAACCCTGTTATATATATTAGTCTACCAACCGAATAAACTTATTTAATGAGCTATAAAATAATGATTGCACAGAGGCTCATGATTTGTATGAACTTATTTATATAATACCATGAATTGAGTGATAACTATTTTACTCTGCTGAAAAGAGTTTCCCAACTAGTTATTTCAATTAATGGAATATGAGTGGGCAACATGTTAGTATGAACTTATTTTTTTAATAAAAAGTATTGAATCTATATGCTTCATTGTACTATTCATTGGTATTTATTTGTACTACTAATATAAAATAAATTCAATGAAATTTTTACTTGACCTTTAATTCATATTTCGACATTATACTTATAGTCAAAAGTAAAGTAGCTAGTAATTTCATCAGTCTACATAAATCATAAGACGACGAACAAAAAAGTCATGGGGCACTCCAGTATAAAAAGTGTGATAACCTTCCATAGCACAATAATATTAAGAAAGGATAATAGTCATATCAAGAAGGGAGAATGAGTATTATAAAATTATAATTGTCTGTTGATTATATTAGAGTGTCTAGTAATACCATGTTTGGTGATTATAGCTAAAACATGCATGATTAGAGCATATAATTCAATTTTATAACGCGCTTTTATGTATGAGCGCTTAGTAGCATTATTTAAATGCTCGGGTCTAATGTCTTTCGTTTCTATTAATTTAATTACTAATCTATCTGATGTCATGGGGTCAGCCCACTGATCTCTATTATACTAGTATAATAGAGATCAGTGGGTCAGCCACCAGAACAGATAGCGTGGTCACGGTTATGATTTCTGCTTAGAGATGGCAGCACAGCCCGGTGACTCCCGGAGACCCACAATGCAATGCAGTAGAAGACAAGAAATGTAGAAAGAGAATGTGAGGCATTGAAAGGAAGTTAAATAATGATCCTTTATTGCATGAGTCTCTACCGTATCGGATGAGTAATGTACACCGAGAGGACACTTCGCAGTTACAACGGAACTGGAGTTTCGTGAAGTGGATCTAGAAGTGAAGTCAAGCTGCAAATCTTCCTAGTCATTGCCGTGTGCCTGTGTTTTTATATCGTGTTGATTCTTGCTAAAACTAAAGTTGGACTTCACGCCAAACTATTCAGAAACTTCACAATGGCGTTAGCAAACGCTAATGTCAATTGTTCGTTAGACGACATCGATTTGAACAGTTTACGGGTAATGTATAATCAACTGAAGTGATCATTTTACGTGTCCGAAGTAGTAAACTAAGTCTACAAAACTGGTGTATTGCCAGGCGACTGCTCAATCCTAGTACAGTCAGTAGTTGGCGACTCGGGTGCACACGTGACACTGTACAGACTAGTGCACAGGCACTTGGAACGTCTCAATAATAATAAAAAGGTAAATAAACACGAAATGTATTTACTACCAAAGGCTTAATTTTCTCTATCGCTCTATTTCGCCTATATACAATCCTTTCTCCACCTGTAAAATGCCGGTCAATGCTCATCGCAACACACAGTACACGGGCACCGCCCGCCATGTGCTGCATGCCACAAACAACCGAATAAAAGAGCAGTGGAAGCGTGTCGCAGAAATTCGCTCGACGCTTGCTTCATTTCACGTAGCTTCACAGCACGAATCACACATCCAACAGCGTTCGCATTCTTTAGTTTATCATGTGTAGATAAATGTTCACATTGTTCGAATTATAACTCTGGCCAGTTTGTCCTTACTAGCTCCCGCACGAGATATCTTCGTGAAATCCTGCCGGAAATGTTCTCGCCGTGAAATGTAAAGTAAGTGTATGAGGACGTATCATCCGAAATCCCTAACGGCGCTGTCACCTTTCGATCTCGAGATCACTCTGTAGTGCGTGTGTGTGTAACGTCATGTCGCGCAGGCGCATTATGCTCTGGCTGGGCGGCCTCGAAACGGAGGCTCGGAGGCAGGCAGGCAGCTCATCCCGGCATGCAATGCGCCGCCATTATTCGTGTATAAACAGACCTCGCACTTTACACTTTCTTTACATTTTCACGGCGAGAACATTTCCTGCAGGATTTCACGAGATATCTCTGGCGGGAGTAGGTAAGGAGAAAGGCCAGAGTTATAATTCGAACAAGTGAACATTTATCTACACATAGATACCAAGATGGAAGCTGTTGGATGTGTATTCGTGCTGTGAAGGTGTGAAATGAAGCGAGCATCGAGCGAATTTTGCGATCACGTGTTCCTACCTGCTCTCTTATTCATGTTGTTTGTGCACGCAGAACAGGGCGGGCGTGCGGTGTTCTTGTGTGTTGCAGATAAGCATTTGACCGGCATTTACAGGTGATTATAGGCGAAATAAAGTAGAGAAGCATTAAGACTTTGGTAGTAAATACATTTCGTGTTTATTTACCTTTTTTTTTTTATTGAGACGTTCCAAGTGCCTGTGGACTAGTGTTGCGTTAGTGTACTACTAGACACCTAATGTTGAAATACTACAGTGCTTAGGACCAGTGCTACTACTAGTACTACCTAGTTTACTGCATGAATATACCGTGGAGGTGGAATTTTTGGCAGCGCTACATACTTGCGCAAACACACGAAGGGACTTATTCAAAGAGATTGATGTTCTGACACATTTTAGATATGTAATTATTCTGTCAGGTCCCAAACATGTATTGTGCATGTATGTTACAGGCAGCCACTCCATCAGGGTTTACGACAAATAATAGACGATCACAGACAAAACATAATTTGTGGAAATGTGCAGATGTATGATATCATTGATATGAATAGAATAGTTTATTCAGATTAGTTTGCATGTCAATGGTGAGGTTGTCGTCTGCCAAATATATTGGTTACAGAACACCGCAAAGTACGAACGCAAATCCATGATGATGAATAATTCGTGATAAAGATGAATGGACGAATCATGATACCAGCGATCGTTAGATGTTGTATAAGAATATTAATAATAGAAAGCTTGTTCTATCAGTATAGGTCATTGATGTGTTTTTATAGAATAATAGGAAATATTGGGTATTGACTAGGTGGCAAATGAAAATGACGGTTATGTGTGAATGTGTGTCATGACAATGTGACTAGCCATAACAGACATGAATGCTATACACTAATCAATTTAAAAAACAAAGGCTGTGCTACCTATGAGGACTGGGTCATGTACTGTCATTACTGTATCTTCTCTATTCACATATATCATATGAGCATGGTGATAATTAAACGGTGACATCACTGTGTGAAAGTGAAAATATGATTATATCGTTACAAGTGTGTGTAGAATGGGTTTTGTGTATGTGCGTGTGTGCATGTGTCTGTACGTGCGTGAGTGTGATTCATGGCATTATGAGGATATTTGTATTGACCCAGTATACCATTTTTTATTCCAGGATCCAGCTGGGATATTTGACCTGATAGAAGTAGTTGGAAATGGAACATATGGCCAAGTTTACAAGGTCTGTTGCATTGTCGTCATTATATCTAAAAAACCACAAGTGCAATCAGATATGTGCACTATTGAATGTGTTTATCAGCTTGTGTAATCAATGGGATTAGCAATATATCTGAGGTACAAAACTTAGGAACAGTATAATATATGTATGTAGAGACGAACCCTCTCTGCTTATATGTATAGGTATTATGCTTTTTTAAATGCTATAATATTGGCGACCCTCCAAGTCATGATTTAAGAAACATAGAGAAATTCGCGGACAGTGACTGATTCGTTAGATTTTTTCACAGGGCCGACATACAAAAACAGGCCAGTTGGCGGCGATCAAAGTAATGAATGTTACTGAGGTAAGAATTGCACACTGTAGTCTTTTACTCACATCTCGTCTGCAATACTAACGTTATATTCATATTTAACTCTTTGTCTAGATATCTTTCTGGTCTGACACTAGTATTGTGTGATGTAATTGCGTAAGGGTTTGGATGAAGCAATATTGGCTTGTGTGTTTTGTATGAACCAGCAGCAGTAGTCTGGGTGTGAAATGCATGGCGAGGGAGGCATCTTAAGATCGCTAGGAACTGCTGGAATGCAAAGAACAAGACTATACAGGAGTGCAAGGCAGTCTAGTTGAATTTATATCTACGTATGTGTTGGAAGCATGTGAACGTGAGTGGCATGTGTGTACATGTGCGAGTGCTGCATGTGCGTGTGTGTCAGGGTTCTTTTTAGGAATGTGAATTTGTGAGGAAACGCAACCATGCAGGTGTTGGTTCAGGGTAGGTTTGTATACGGACGCTATTCCTACAGTGTTAGGGGTGGTGTAGGGGTTGTATTCCTCCAATGTTAGAGGTGGTGTAGTGGTTGTGTTGCTACAGTGTTAGAGGTGGTGTAGGGGTTGTGTTAATACAGTGTTTGGTGGTGTAGTGGTTGTGTTCCTACAGTGTTAGTCAGAGGTGGTGTAGGTGCTGTACATATTCCTACAGTGTTAGAGGTGGTGTAGGGGTTGTATTCCTTCAGTGTTAGAGGTAGTGCAGGGGCTGTATTCTTACAGTGTAAGAGGCAGTGCAGGGGGAGGGGGCTGTATTCATGCAGTGTTAGGGGTGGCGTATGTACTGTATATCTACAGTGTTAGGGGCAGTATATAGAAGTAGTATACTCAATAATCTCAATTCCCAAACATTACAAATAGAGTGTGGCTCAATGTGCATTCTCTCAACACCAGTTTCCACTTTTCAACTCCAAATTTCAAGAACTTACCAAGACGTTGTGCCCTTTTTGCTTTTTTTTTCTTCTGGGAGGAGTGGACCTGCGTCCAAGCAATCATATTCTAGCAGGTGCCGTGCAGTGACAGTGTGACACTAGCAGTCATATTCAGCATGGTTAGCTATGCGGAGGGGGAGCGGCAGTGGTAGTTTGCACCTAGTAGCCTGTGTAGGTAGTAAACGTCATGCCTGTGATGGATGTACTTGTCAATGCGAATTTGCGGCCATATTCCAAAAGCCAGTTTAGCGAGATCAAGAAAGCCGATATTTTACTCCCTTTCTACAAAATCGTGAGCATCACCTTCATGCGTGACGCGTTCATGCTGACGTCAGCTGGACTCCCGCCCACGTGCGTAAATTCATGCGCTTCTCTCAGGGTCTCCAAACGTTAGAAATTCTATTGGTTTTCGCGCGACACACGCCGGACTTTTCCCAACTGTTTACACCGAACGATACCAAGTCATCCGCCCTGTAGAACCAATCAGGTTTTAGTAGGAGCGCTCGGCCATTCGGGCTCAACACGACAAAATCCATAGCTGTCCGCAGAGACTGGGCGGCGAACAAAATTCGTTTGCGTTGCTGGCCAGAGGCTAGCATGCTGTCCATTTGTTACGTTTGTTACTAGTTAAATTCAGGTACGTGCCGAAACGAGGTTGGCCGATGCTCAGTGCGTGTTTAACGCAGTGGATGGCAGAGAAGGTTTCACGTTTATTTCTCTAGACCATTGAGCTTTGGAACTGAGAATCGCAAGTGTCCCGGATCTAGTTACGTACATGCGTCAGAACCCCCTCCCCCCACACACACACTACTTTACGTCCCCCGAGGTTTTCAACGACAATGGAGTCGTTCGCCAAGAGATAGAAAAATCAGGCTAGACGGTGTCGAAGAGAGATATTTATAGATTTATTTACTATTTTAGTGCCCCTGTTGCTTAGTTGTGAACTAGTGAAGTCATGTGAGATACGTAAAGAGCTAATTATCTGCTCGGAACTCGTTCAGCCGCCTTCGACTCCTTGGCCAATACATTTCTCTTCTTCGCTGATGTTTTTTAACTGTGTCGTAGAAATATGGAGATCCTGCATAAGTTTTCCTCCGATCTCCTTTCCCAATTCCAGATGTGGGAGTATCGGTGTAGTCGTGTGTGCGCATGCTCGTGTGACTGCCATAAGCAACGTGTTTTCTCTCTCGTCTTACCCTCTCACGTAGAATTTGTAACAGTCTCGCTATACTTAAAAACAGCGGCATAAGATTTCGGCCACCCAAGTCGAAGGAAATTACAGCCCGTGTTGGCAAGGCATCTTCATTATGTAGTAGCAACTATATTTTAAAATGCGAGGAAAAAATACCTCATGCGGAGTTAGGGTATATGCATATATGCCCATTATACGCGTACAATATTTCTGCTTTGCCAGTTACAACTGCAAAACATCGTGCGAAAGAAATTTGATGAAATTTTTCTTCGTGCTGCTAGATCATTTAGCAGCGGGAGAAGGCTTAAAAACTGGCAATTTGAAGAATTATCTTGCAATTGTGGAATTTGTGTGAACTCGGGGCAATTTCCTACCGGAGTCTCCCCTATAAGCCCAAAAACATCATTATTGACAATGTGGGAGGGGGAAGATGATTGTACTGTTATTATGGGCGAGTGCGGCAAGCTCCCTAGTCGGCTGGGTTCAGTAGTGCAGTGGAGCTAGAAAACCACGCATCAGTATACGAGCTCATGCATGCGTGCGTGATTCTACAGCAGGCTGGTATTTGCTGGGGGTTGGGGTGGTGGTGGGGTGATGCTCGCGTCTAGGCGTTACAGTGATGTTATAGATAAATGAGTGTGTATCGTGTTCTCGTGCAGTAGCCGTCTGCACGTCAGACACACACACACACACACACACACACACACACACACACACACACACACACACACACGCGCGCCTTTCTTCTGGCTGGTGTCGTCATGTATGAAATATTGGCAGGCCGGCAGATGCGATTTGCTTATAAATAGTATCAGGAGTGTATAATATAGATATCTATATTATACACTCCGGATAGTATCATTGCACACGAATAACGTCATATATAGCGTGCTACGTCCAGATGGGATGTTCGGTTATATCTAAAAAAAAAAAATCCATAAGTGTCATTAAGTGAGTAAAGCGTCAGTACGCGTAAAATGCAAACTATGTGTTCTCTGCTGGTGTATATATTTCAAGAGCTAATAAATAATAGAAGTATTTATTAGCTCTTGATACATATCTATATATGCACGTAGTTTTCCGTTGCTTGTATCGTGTACAGACTACATGTACTTGGTAGTAAATACGTAACGGTGGATATTGCAGAAATGGGTTGCGCGCAACTTTTCTGATGTTGGTCATCTATTCTGACATAGGCACTCCCAATTATTATGCGTCAGTCTGTTCGCGAATATAGATAGCATTATAGCATGCTGCTGATGAGTAGCTTAGTCATCGCTCGTCGTATCAGTGCGATTACATCAAGTGTTGTGTCACAGTGTGTGTGTGTGTGTGTGTGTGTGTGCGTGTGCGTGTGTGCGTGTGCGTGTGCGTGTGCGTGTGCGTGTGTGCACGTACGGGCGTACATATGTGCGTACGTGCGGTGCGCGTGCGCGTGTGACTGGGGCTGAGTGTTTAAAGGGCCAGCAGCTGAGACAGCTGTAAGTACATTCCGGCTGTATTCACACAATACCGGGCTGTGTATCCGGCTGCTGATGAGGAGGAGGAGGAGGCAAACTGGTAGCGAGCGTGGAACACTAGTGCAGCAAGCCTTGTTACGGTGCGCGCGTGCATGTACGTGCGGGTGAGCGCGTGTGTGTATGTGTACCCGCGTGTATGCGTGCGTGTGTGCGTGCGTTCGTGCTATTATATCCGGGTGAATGTACGTGCATGTGTGGGTTTGGGTGTTTGCGTGTGTGCGTGTGTGGGTTTGTGTGCGTGCGTGCGTGTGTCTTGAGTTCCAGCCATACGATGAGTCATGGTATACCCCCAGAGGTGACTGCTAAATTGAGCTTGCGTGAGAGGCTTAAGCAAGTGCGCTGGCCACAGCCCTACTGCATAGGCCCGCAGTTGGGCCGTGTGGCCAGCCAGCCCTACTGTAGCTCTGCTAGAGCTGTGTTTTGACAGAACTCATCAGTCTGGCCCCCACATGCCTCCTCGGCCACCTCAGCCACCCCCTTGTATCTAGTTGCTCTTCTCTAGACTCTAGCGGTCCATTGGTTTGTTTCCCGTCGGCGTCTAACTGGGATACTTTCGCCCGGTGCGGTGTAGAGTTAGCCACGTACGAGTGCGTAGTCACACTATGAAGTGAATGATTGCCGGCAGGCTGAATTCTACAGCACTCTCGCATCCACAAACACAGTTCTGCATGGCAAAGGTTAAGTATAGTGGCAGAATCAATGCGCGACACAGTGAGACACACACACAGTAGGCAGTATATCTGTTAAACGGTACGATGCCTGTTATATTATGCGAAATTCTTTGTCGGGTTGAATCGTAAAACGGCTGCAGGCTGACACTGTATCGCGCATTACATTTACAGGCGCAGACAACTAGTACATGCACATGTTGCCACACCAACACAAATACACACGCGTGTATGCGCGCGTGGCATGGCTACAGTACACGCATTGCGTGCGGGTACACGAGTTGAATGTCAGTAGACGTAAAAGACGTGTGAAAAATGACGCGAATTTTCTTTGTGCCCAGATAATTAACTCTGTGGTGAACTGAAATTAGCGGTCAATTAATTTCTCAGTAGCTTGTTTACGTCTTCCCACACCACGCATCACGAAAACAGCTGCAGATCATAAACATACAGAAACTCACACTTCCTGTGTACATCCGTGTGTCTCTCTCTGCGTGCGTGCGTGCGTGCGTGCGTGCGTGTGTGCATAGACTTGTACATTCATCCCCCCCCCCGTGATAGCACATCTGCGACAGGGGGTGCACCACCGACCCGAGTGAGTGGTCTTCTGGAAGAGCGACGTCGTTATTGACCGAGAATCAAAAGCCTTGCATGACCGCTGCATTTATGCGCTTATACACACTAGCCTAGCTTGGAAGTGGAGCAAGGCATTTAGTCCGAACAGAGACGACACTTATGCTACGATTCTCTGTTGGGGAAGCAATTACTTAAATTAGTGTCACGATTGCACCTCCGCCCCCCTCTCTCGTGTAATGCCATTTGCTAAATGAAAACAGCACTAGCATATATTATATATATACGAGCGCGTGTAGTAGCCCCACGGCGCGTGCGGTGTGCGAGGGATAATGTATGGGATCAAGAGCAGATAAAGAAGGAGAGCGTACAACGGTAAAATGCTAAAACCATGCTGCAGTATTAGTCGAATTAATAAACTTTTCCCGTTTTATTTTGACGATCCTTTGCAGTATCATTGATTAGCTGTCTTACCTTGTTCATATAAAA